ACACACACAACCTTGAGGCGGATGGGCTACAACAGCAGAAGACTCCACCGGGTACCACTCATCTCCACTACAAATAGGAAAAAGAGGCTACAATTTGCAAGAGCTCACCAAAATTGAACAGTTGAAGACTGGAAAAATGTTGCCTGGTCTGATGAGTCTCGATTTCTGTTGAGACATTCAGATGGTAGAGTCAGAATTTGGCGTAAACAGAATGAGAACATGGAACCATCATGCCTTGTTACCACTGTGCAGGCTGGTGGTGGTGGTGTAATGGTGTGGGGGATGTTTTCCTGGCACACTTTAGGCCCCTTAGTGCCAATTGGGCATCGTTTAAATGCCACGGCCTACCTGAGCATTGTTTCTGACCATGTCCATCCCTTTATGGCCACCATGTACCCATCCTCTGATGGCTACTTCCACCATGTCACAAAGCTCTAATCATTTCAAATTGGTTTCTTGAACATGACAATGAGTTCACTGTACTAAAATGGCCTCCACAGTCACCAGATCTCAACCCAATAGAGCATCTTTGGGATGTGGTGGAACGGGAGATTCGCATCATGGATGTGCAGCCGACAAATCTGCGGCAACTGTGTGATGCCATCATGTCAATATGGACCAAACTCCCTGAGGAATGCTTCCAGCACCTTGTTGAATCTATGCCACGAAGAATTGAGGCAGTTCTGAAGGCAAAAGGGGGTCCAACCCGTTACTAGCATGGGGTACCTAATAAAGTGGCCGGTGAGTGTGTGTATATATATATATATATACACACACACACTTTTTTATTTTTTTACTGTACTACACTGCAAGACAAAGTTCTTAGATCATTGCCCATCACATAAAAAACATATTATAATCATTATGTCTCATGTCACACTCACTGGAAATGGGCGAGGGCTGTGGTAACCTGAGGCTGTGGACAATACAAATAGGAAAAAGGCATTCCATCCGAGTGCACCTGAAACAGGGAAGTTGGAACAATGTAGCAACATTTCTGATGCAATACACAGTAAATTGGGATTATTAAAAGCATTAATCATATCATATTATGCAAGAATACAGCAAAATATCATTAATACCATTTACACTCACTTTGGTGGCTTTGGTGGGTGGAGACGCTGAGGGGTTTTGGCTGGCGTCTGGAGACACTAGGGGCCTCTGTTCAGAGGGTGGGGCTGTATTATGGACGAGCCATGAGGGAGGACTCACCGCACGTTCTCTGTCATGCTCCTGACTGGGGTCTCTGATGGACTTACCACTCGAGAGGGATGGACTAAACTGGGTCGGCTTGGGTCTCTGACTGAGCGTAATGCCGTCTACTGACATCCCTCCTGAGTTCTGCTTCGAGAACTGGTTTTGGGTGCTTGTTGCTATAGGCAACGAGGGGACTTCCTTTAAAAGCGATTGACTTTCCAGCTCTGGGTCTGTATCAGCACAAAAATAAGTTAAGTTAGTGAAGCAGAAATTACACTGGTATTATCTATAAATAAATCCACATAAATGTACACATTAACACAAAAATAGAATTGAATAAAATGAACTACATAATTCCTTGACAAGCACCACGAAATTAAATTTGACAATTATCTTTTATGGAATATTGCAGTATTTATTATAAATGATTTATCCAAGCACATCTCATGTGCTCAAATAATCTTTAAACAAAATAACTTCCCCTCCCTTATGCAGCGTCATCTCTTCTCTGATGACGAGGGCGGGACAACCTGTCACTCACATGAGATCACAGCAATAGTAAAACACAATGATCCAATTAATTCCCGTTGGACGAAATCAAGTCCCGCCCTACATTTTTCTTGTTTGAGAAGCTGTTTCACTCAGATATTCGTCACAATAGGCAAAAAAAGACGATCGCAACTTCCGTTTCATGCTGACTTTAATAAAAAAAAAAATAGTGCAGTTTAAAATAAATCACTACCACTGGAACATGATTTTTAGTATATATTTCTTCTAGCCATAGGAATATTGAGTCTATGCCCAGATGGAAGGATTTCAAAGGTAGAATGAAGGCGATGAGTATGATTTTACATACCGCAAGTGCCGTTTTTAACATAAAATTACAAAATAAGTCCTGGAGTGCATGTTGTTTACGTTCAGTGATATTATCGGCCTGGTTAGTTATTTCACTATTAAAATGATGTCCTGTTATTCTGTGTATGTTAAACATTTGCATAAAGAGGAAATTACCATTTGAGTCTGAAGTGGAACGTCTACCTAACAGAGCTGGCTCTTGTGTGTACATATCCCATGGGCTCTCTCCATCCCCAGATAGCTCCCCTGTACCACACAAAACCTCTGGGAGAAGGAGGGATGAGTTTAATAACACATCATCTACCTGGAACAGCAGCACTGACTTTCTTTTGTAAAATCTCACCTGGTCTTGTGTGTATCAGAGTAGACTGTCCGTCATCTGGACATGAGCCACTTATATTGTCCTGAGTGACCACTGTTTGGTTTGCAATCGATGTGCTGGTTGGATGCGATTCTTCAGGGGGCGGGGCCAAGCCATTTGGTGTCTCACTCTCACTACCTGCACCTGCGCACATGCACGTACACAAGACAAAAACACATATGCATAGTGCGCCACATGCATGGTAAAATCTGGTCGAATGCCCAAAGGGTTGTCATGAAAAAAGCAATTAATTAGGCAGCAGACAGTACTGGGATCAGCTGTTATCAGCTCCCTCTGTTCCTCCGGGATGAGAAGAAAAGGCACAGGGACAATGAACTGCTCCTGTCCCTGGAAAAAAAACACACACACACGCAATGAAAATTTGTCTGGTCAACAGCTGGTGCCTTTAAGTTGCCAAGGAAGCAGCCTTACCCTCCAGTGAAGTCTCTCTCTGTGCCAGTGAGTTGGTGTCGCCACACTTGGACAGTATGTTGCAGACATGGATATTTTCTCCGTTGCATCATTCAGAATATTTATTATAATGTCATTGTGCCACACCTCCAATAGAGACGAGAGTGAGACCCCTGGGAAATTAGGTACATAATGCACATCATTATCGTTTCTGTGAAGCAGCATGTTTTCTTTATAAATGATATTAAGAATGCAAATTACAAGCATTTACAGTTCAGTGCAAGAGGTGTGTGTATATGCAAGCTATTCGAAGAAAGACAAAGAGAAAAAGTGTTTGACACCTACCAGAGGATGAACTTACAGAACCCTCCCTGTGGGATCTGACAGAGAGCAATACAATTAACACTAACTGTTAAACACAATCTAAAAAACACACTGCAGTTCTGTGTAACATGTACTTGTTCACGCATGCTATAAACAAGGTCAACACACCTCCACGTCTTTATGATCTGATCTCTGACTGATGAGAGAGTTGTACTGAAAGATAATGAAAGACTAATAGAGATTAATAGCTAAATAAATGACAATGATTTAGTGCCGTTAGGACACATCATTGCACATGCTTAGAGAGATCAGTGACTTGCCAGCTAGGGGGTTGTTGGCGTTTTGAAGCGATGCATACGGTGTTCAATTGATTGACTTTCAAGTAAAACTGGCAAGATGCCTAAAAAAAAAAAAGAGGAAACATGTAAACATCTAATACATAAAGATGTCTGATTTCTTTATTTGGAATCAACAAGCCAACATTCAATAAAACTCTTAATTTGGTAACATCAGTTATTGTTTTAATGTGCTTTATTCATTCATATTTAATATTGCATTAATTTACATGACTTTTCTAGACCGGACAGGAATGAATATTATAAGCCATGTTTATGCAATATATATCAGTATATCCCTGCTGTTTCTCTATCCAAGAACTGCATGGCCTGGAGCATGCCAAAGCATCAGCACTCAAAAGGAAAATGTTTAGAGGTTGGAACCAAAAGATGGACATAACATACCAGATCAGGGTTCATGTCGAAGTTCAGCTCAAAGCTGCGTACATATACAATAGCATTGTGCAGGCCTGTAAAGGTTTCCATCTCGTCCAAGCTGAAGAAAGAGAGAACAAAACTCAGACAGTGTCATTTTTTATTTGGATTTAATTACTATCATTACACTGACTTAAAGTAGTGTCTGCTGATCTCTAATATTCACTTATGCACTTACAAAAATTCAAGGCAACAGTTAATATGCAACAGGCAGAAGATCAGAACCCTAAACTTGAGCTTATTTCAGCATGATTTTCATTGGTTGATGAGTTGTATAAAAACAGGGGCTCAGGTGTGTAGTGAGTGGTGTCATAACAGAGGATTAATAGGTCCCTTACTCCTGCAGACGCTCCCATGCGGCTTCGCTCAACACCGCGGGAATGACTGCGCTCCCATCGGACATGAACAGCATACAGGCATCTGTGTGCTCCGTCCGCTGCGAGTCTGATATATCACACACCTAACCAACACACACCCGCACTTCAGTACTGACACGACATTCTACATATGTGATCACACATAAAAAAAACTACTTACGCCGACAACGTTTGCTTTTACCGTCGTTTCACACTGGCTTTGGCCGTAGTTTTGGATGAGTTTCTCGATCCACGGCTCCAGCTCCGCCATTCGGCGACGTTTTATCTTTGGTGGATTCATTGCTAAACTCGTGAATCTGTAACTGTCCACTAGTGTAAATGTAATAAAAGAATTCAAACGGTTAAACTCTTCGCGCCGCTTTATTTTCGTCCCGTGTAGAAAATTAGACCAGGCGATTTGGGTTCCGTTACAATCATGTAGATTCGAATCGTTGGTGCCACCTTGCGGTATTTGTGCGCAATGATAAAAAATAAAAAGATAAGCAAGTTTTTGGGTGCTGATGTTTATTTTTTTTTAGCAAGGTACGATACAATTTATGAAAACCTGACAAAAAAAATGTGAAAAATATTTCACTTCTAACATGAACATGTCCTTTTCCTAAAGTAAATTTGACATAGATGGATTGAAATGCAATGGTTGTATATCAAGACCAGGGAGGAATTATTTGTATAAAAAATCAAATAAAAATAAAAAACCCTTACAACTAAACATTGCTTATTTCTTATTTCAAAATGTTAAAAAGACAATGATGAAATAAATCAGTGATTAAAACTCAATCTATGACAGCAAACAAGCATGCAAAGTTTGCACTGTAATACGTTTGTAAAACCACAATAAAAGTTGCTTTTAAAAACATAAAAGCTTTCTTAAACATTCCATAAAATAATTAAAGCCACATTCCACACCTATTAACTCTTCTCATTATGGTTTCACCTGTGAAAAAAGAAGGAAGAAAAAAGTCAGACTGAGATTTCAGCTCCCTAGCTGGCTGTCAGCATGAATACAAGTTACTGACTTGGAAGTTGCACAAACATGAATGCATCTTTAAATCGGAATTACAACTGTAAACTTCCCAGTAATGAGGACTAAAAACTTGCTGACATGGCGAAGAGGACAATTTCAGCAGTGTTGTGATAATTTATTTTTCAATATTGTAATCATTTTTGTATTTTTACAGCTTTTGCAGTTTTGAAATAAGAATGAAACGTTTCATATTCATGCCAACAACAAAGCACTTGAAATGTGACACCCATAACAATCCTGTAGTAGTTGTTTAAATATGGGAATACATGTTACCTACAGATTCAGTGATTCCTTCAGACTCCCACCCATTTTCTGTAAGCTCTCACTAAGTCCAGCTTTCAGAAGTGTATAATCTGGTTTCTCTGTATACTGCAGGGTCATTACAGTAGACAGGTATTCTTGTAATGCACCTAAATTGCACAAAAACATATTACATACAAACCTTCACTGGTATTAAACACATGAGGATGATTAAAATAGAAAAATGAATGCTCACTTGAAGCTTTCTTCTGTTTGTAGCAGCAACTCAGAAGTCCAGGGATATCCGAAATATACCTGTAGACAGGCAGAAAACATATTACACATAGAAGAACACTGACATAACTGCAGCCTTCCCTCTGTAAAGCGCTAGGTTTTCATTCATGGAAATTGTGTTCCTTTTATGATTCAAAATGCACGTGATATAGATTAAGTAGTAATTTATCAGACGCTTGTATTTAAAGTGTCTAAAGGTCCATTCATTGAAGGGACAGTTCACCTGGAGTAAAGCACCTTGCCCAGAGCCGGTGATACTGTAGCTCATGGCTCTTTCCTTGTGGGGATCAAACTAGCAACCTTCTTTTTTAATTTAGTCACCGAGATGCTTTTATTTCGAAGTGACTTATAAATGAGAAACATCACAAGCAATTCTTCATACAAGAGCCAACAATATCCACAGCACAGCAAAAGCAAGTTTCAGGAGTAAGTTAAAGGAAGCATAGATATGCATGTAGATGACACATTAAAAAGCTTGAAATGGGTCTTGGAACGGTCAACATTTCAGAATCATCTTCAATTTACAAAATAATCTGCTTAAGTCAGTTGTAGATATATGTATATATATATATATATATATATATATATATATATATTCATACATGCATATAACTAAGGTTGCAGACGCACAGTCGCTCTTGAGTGTTCATAGACCGGCTTTGACCGTTCCAATATGGTGGATGGCTTATGAACCTCTAATGAGGCATCTATATACCTATTTGCAGAAGCAGTATAGAAGGGCCAAAATTATTTCTTACTATTATTATTCAAAAAATATTTTTTTTTAAATTTATTTTTAGGCAATGCCTTTATCATTGGTACTAGGGGATAATATGTTCACAGAAAAATTCAAAGAAAATATATATTTTTTAAATGGCTCATTGAAGAAAAAAAACTTCACATTCGTTTATATTTTAAGAAGGTGGTCCTTTGGAAGGGGATCATCATATTTGGGGGAAACCCCTGGTTTAGTAAAGGGCTCACAGTAGAGGTTGGCAGTTACCAGCACTGAGCTTGAAGCACTGTACCACACCACTCCTTGAGCCAGTTGCATAAACATAGCCACTATGTTAAGACTGTCTTAACAACTGGTCTGACCAAGGGGTCTATAAAGGGTCTATGTAAGAATTTTCATCCCTTGTCCGATTGCCAATGTGTGAACAACAGCTTGTAACGAAACTTAAACAAATCAGACCTTCCCCAGCTTCTTAGGTCTTCTACTATGAAAGCCTGAAGACTGATTTTTTTGTGAAGAACTCGGGCTGGTTTCACCGGGAAAATCCAAAGGATGTGACGGTTACGCACACTCCTGAAAGCCTTTCTTTTGTTCTATGACAAATTAAATAATTTCTTATGCAATATTCAGGATAATGCAGAAATAGCCATTCTGTACTGTAATGTCAATGTGTCATGCAAAGAAAAGGGATCAATTCAAACTATAGTCTCACATAGCCAAATCTATAGTCTCAAATATAATTTATAATCAAACCATCATAACAGTGTAATTTTAATTACCTGTCGACATGAGGCTGATGAATTGCAGAGCTGGTGCAAACATATCCATATCACTATGCTTTCTTAGAGGTAGAGGTTGGCAGTTACCAGCACTGAGCTTGAAGCACTGTACCACACCACTCCTTGAGCCAGTTGCATAAACATAGCCACTATGTTAAGACTGTCTTAACAACTGGTCTGACCAAGGGGTCTATAAAGGGTCTATGTAAGAATTTTCATTTTCATCCCTTGTCCGATTGCCAATGTGTGAACAACAGCTTTTTTGATGCTTTCTTAACTGCTGCTTTCTCACCATTGTCATTTTTGTTGTGCGTTTTTGTTTTTGAGAGGAAAGTGCAGCACATATTTACAATTCATCTAAACAGTATTTCGCTGCAAAGTTATTTCCAACTTCCTTTTACTTCTGAGCAAAGAACAAAAATAACAATGGTACGTTAATAACAAGGGTTTAGCTACATAGTATATAGCCCCATTAAATAACTGACTTAAAACATTATGAAAAAGTTATGAGCAGTCTTAAAGAAAATAAATTTGATGACTAACTTGTAAGACTAGTATGGGTGGAACGGATCGCAGTTGATCCGTACGGACCAGGCCCCACAGTTCGGCACGCATGTGATTCGCGGATTAACTGCTAAATTTAACCATCATAGAGTGAAAGTTTATAATTTGGACGTGTTTTGTCTTGCCAATTTACACATTCAAACAATTTTAAACACAGAAGAGGTGGTGAAAATCGGGACTCGCGCACACTCGAAGAGAGCGAGAGAGAGAGCGAGAGAATTGATTCCTCTTTTGCGTTTCCTTGCCCTTGAATGGACACAAACACAAAATGATGTCTAAATACCCGTCTCGGCATATCTTCTCTCGGTTATATCATAAGTGAACAGTTGAGAAAGAAACTGGATGTTTGTCAGTTTTTCGGTCAGTGCAGTTGGTCTTAAAGTGACAGCACACACCTAATATTCCTACCGTTGTCTGTGTCATTAATGTTAATAAAACAACAAAATACAGCTTTAACAAAGATACTAAAGAAACTACCGTATTTTCCGGACTATAAGTCGCTCCGGAGTATAAGTCGCATCAGCCCAAAAATGCGTCATGACGAGGAAAAAAACATATATAAGTCGCACTGGACTATAAGTCGCATTTATTGAGAAATTTATTTAACAAAATCCAAGACCAAGAAAAAGTTATTTAAACAGACTTTAATTCATTAAAACAGAAGGCATTTAAGTTATTCAGCTACACACAATAGCACAAAGAACAACAGGCTGAATATGTGTCTGGTATGTTGTTAACGTAACACATCAACATTTAGCTACACAATAGCATAAAGAACATACCTAAGAGGCTGAATAGGATAAAATAACATAAGACAGCGAGTCCAACAGTTATCGGTAAAGCAACTGCACTGCACCGTTGACAAGCCTCTCCCGGCAGCGCGTTGTTCAAGCACCCATCTGTGGACTCGTTCCTCCAGCTCTGGCCATCTTGCTTTCAGCCCGCGATTAGCTTTCTTTGTTTTCTTCATTTCAGTTAAGAGTAACCTCTGCTTTTCGCCAGTCCCTCACAAGTTTCTCATTCACTCCAAACTTTCTTTCTGCTGCTCGATTACCGTTTTCGGCTGCATATTTTATTACCTGCAGTTTGTAATCTGCAGAATATGATTTTCTTTTTGGGGGCATTTTGTTTGCGTTCAGTCTAATATTTCAGTTAATATCAGTTGTTTTCAGTTCATTTTTTCAGCGGTAAAACTAGCTGTAGTCTAGAGCGCTCTCTCGTGGCTGTAGACGGTAATGTCACCCCTAATTTCGGCAAATGATGCAATCACGTCATACCACAAATACATCAAAAACTCTCAAATAATAATCTGGGGCAGTCAGCGATCCTGTGACGAGTAAATCTTGGTAATTTTGATATATAAGTCGCACCTGACTATAAGTCGCAGGACCAGCCAAGGTATGAAAAAAAGTGCGACTTATAGTCCGGAAAATACGGTATATTTAATTTCTTCTATTTAGGCTTAATTATTCATTTCTGAACCTAAATACTACTGTTAGACTTTGTAACTTTGTTATTTAGTATTCATCTCTGCTTGTAATTTGTGTATTTGTTTTTATTTTATTACTGACTGACTTTTTTTGCTGAACCGAAAAATTATCCGATCTGTGGCTCAAAAACCGTAAATGATCCGAACCGTGAATTTTGTGAACTTAAGACTAGTCTAAGCAGTTTATACAACTGGCCACTAATCAAGGTGATTTTGCGGTTTTGCTTACCTCTCTTTCTCTGCAGCAACGGAGCTTGTGTGAGAGAGGTGACTCCAGGGTAGTGAGCCTGTCAGCCAACACAGCATACAGTAACCCAGAGACTGCAGGTCACTGCGACAAGAGGGACCTGCAAAACACCCACAGGCATGCAAATTAGACTCGTTTCTGCCATGGATAATGTAAATAACGCAATGAACAACTGACGCTCACCAGCCCCCTTGTGAGAATCCACGCTGATGAAGTTGATGTTACCCTGGTGAGCAGTGCGGCTACCCTGTCGGTACTCCACGTGCTTTCCACCAGGGCAAAACCTAAACGCATAACCAAAGCCAGACAAGAAAACCTACAAAACACAACAAACACTTTAATGTTTGAATGATATATAAAGCATTCACATTCAGTTCATAAGAGACATGCTCACTGACCTCTGTGTCACTGTCAGTGTTGATGTAAATATTTCCTGCATGGATGTCTGCATGGGCATATTCCTTCTCATGGACAAATTCAAGTGAATCCAACTACAAAACACATACACATCCTATATATATTGCCGTTTCATAGAGAATGGCATAGCTAGGGCATTAGCAACAAATCTGAGAGTAAAGTCGTTCAATGGTACACTCACTAGTCGTAGTGCAAGCTGAAGAACAACTTTCTCAGAGAGAGAGCCGGTGCCTTCCTCTATGGCTGTCTGCAGTGGTTCGCCCATGCTGGGAAAAACTAAAAACCTACAGGGAAGTGTTTACGGATACAATTAGATTCCACAATGAGGTCATTGTTATTGAACTGTTTTTATCTTTACACACAATCTTTCAATGCGTTGCCCTGCGCTCATGACACAAGACTATGAAAATCAGTGAAATGCAAAGCAACAACCAAATACATCAGTCTGCACATGTACATAGACTAACATTAAAAAAAAGTAGATGGGGTGCGGAAACGTGCTGTGTGTGAATACATCTCCCACTGTTTCATCGGACAAATTGACAACTCGATTGCTAAATGAATTGATGTTGGCTAAAGGACAATGTTAAGTCTGTGTTCAATTATATGGAAATAAAAGAAACAATATATTGGCTTCTAAACCATTTTTGTAATGGCAAATTAATTTTTTTGCTAGTCTGCCACAATGTAATCATAATGTCTTGAAATATCTTCATAAATCTCTCGTCTCAGGGGGATATGAGGGTGGAAAGCACGGTAATTTGAAAATACTACAGGTTTTCTACTAATACAAAGCTTAATGCTAAATCCTGAAGTATCCCTTTAATCAAAAATACAGAAACAGTAATATTGTGAAATATTATTGCAATTTAAAAATACCTTTTAAAATATATTCGAATAGAAAACAGTTATTTATTCCTGTGATGGCAAAGCTGAATTTTCAGCATCATTACTAAAGTCTTCAGTGTCACATGATCCTTCAGAAATCATTCTAATATGCTGATTTGGCGCTCATTTTTTATTTCAAAACATTTCTTAATATTATCAATGTTAAAAAACCGTTGTGCTGCTTAAGATTTTTGTGGAAACCGTGACACTTTTTAATTTATTTTTATTCTTTGATAAATAAAAGGTTCAATTTAATGCATCCTTGCTTTTTTTCAAACACTTTTTAATGGTAGACAGTGTAGTATAATATTCTATAAAGGTTTCTGTACAGATTCATACAAATCCACATACCTAGATGCTTCATGGAGACCAAATCCTACACATGATGGAATCCCAAGGAAGTCCAATTTGTGCAATTTCATCCATTTTTCCACTATTGGCAAAGAAAAAGAAAGAAAGGGTTACACTATTTTAAGGTGGCGTAGTTACATTATACTTCCTCTAGTTTTTGATATATCCGTTGCAAGTTCTAAAATGGCTGACCTGCGTCAGGTTTGGCTGCTCTCAGATGGAAGTTCTGCTCATTGAACAGGTGTCCTTCTTTAGCACCCTGAGGAAGACAACCTAAAGTTATCAGGGCCCTCCTCACAAACACACACAGGCTACATTTTGTGAACACAACACTCACCAGTCTCAACATGTACTTGCATTCATTTGAGTCTGCGTGCTGATTTGCCTGGCACACTAGATTAAACAGACAATATTTATATGCATAAGTCACATTTATTGCATTGCTGTTATCTTTGTCTTAACCATCTGAGGAAAAAATGATTAAAGGATTTAAGATGCACAGATGGATACATTGACCCACATCCCATTAATGTGGAGCGTAGGGGTTTGATAGTCAAATATCTTACCTGCATATGTCAGATCTAATTCTGTTTGCCACAGAAGTTCAACCAGCTTCCACTTTTTGCTTGACTGGTCACACACCACCAGACCCTCCTGGACCGGCTCCACAGTGCACACGCGCTTCTTGCCTTTGCATTTAGCTAAAAACCCAAATAATAACAACATGATGCTATTTGGCCATTTTGTATGAAACACAATAAAGAAATGTGATGTAATCACTTTTAGATATCATGTATTATCTTTCCATGTAAATGTAGCAGTTTTCCCTCTATACAGTGCATCTTACATTGGCTTTGAATAACTGAAGACGTTTGCTTTGCCGCCTCGTCTTTAACCTGGGGGGAAGCCTTACATTTTCGAGGTGACATCGAATGCATCTTATCTGAAATAATGCAGCACACAAAATACTTCACAGCACACTAATAAAAATCTGTGAATATAAATATAAAATGTATTTACAATAGTGTGTAAAATTATTAATAATGTGGTCATATTTGCAATTTACCATATGACCGAGCAAGAAAATCTGCTTTAATTATCTAAGGTATAAAAAGACAACAAATCTAAATTTAAAGACTACATCCAGAGTTTCCCTGCATCTCACCTGGAGTTTGTAGTGTAACCGAACAAGTTTGCTTCGCCTCCTCTTGTTCTTTAACCTGGGGGGATGCCTTTCCTTTCCCAGGAGATGTCAAAGGCTTCTTACCTGGAATAAAGCAAAAGTCTTTCACACAAAATCCTACAACATTTAATGTTATAACGCTTCTGATTTGCATTTAGCAGAAAACGTCTATACAAGTAATAATAATATGACCGTTTTTTATGTTTACTCTGTGAAATAACATGAATATCTGCTCTAATTACATTTGGCTATAATAAAACATACTATGTTATAAAGTCTAGCGTTTTACAGTATAGTGTGTCTACCTGGGGTTTGAGTTACTATGGACAATGTTTTCTTTGTCACTTCTTTCTCCTCTTTAACCAGGGGGGATGTCTTTCGCTTTCGAGAAGATGTCAAAGACTTCAGATCTGAAATAAAGCAGTCGTCTTTAACAAAAATCATAGCAAGTCTACAAAGCCCTTGTCTCTACTACAGAAACACTCAGACACACCTACACAGTCCATGGCTGTGCTACTCGAGGTCTTTCGCCGTGTCGAACGCAAAGCTGGGCGAATCAGTGCAGATTGTGATGAGTCTCCAGCAGAATCTACTACTACAAAGAAAGTGGATTACTGTGTTGCTATTAAGCATTTTAAAAGCAGCAACTGGGGTCAAAAAAGGAGGCTCAGTCAGATGACATATGCATAAATGTACATGTATTATGCATAAACTACCATCCAAAAGTTTGGGGTTGGAAGATTTTTTAATGTTGTTGAAACTAAGCCTATTATGCTCACCAAGCCCACATTTATTTGATGAAAAATACAATAAAAAAACATATTGTGAAATATTACAACAATTACATTTTTTTTCTATTTTAACATATTATATTTAAAATGTATTTTAGAAAGAGCCTAACTTTCAGCAGTCATTACTCCAGTCTTCAATGTCACAGGAATCATTCTAATGCTGATTTGGAGCTCAAGAAACATTTCTGATTATCAAATCAGTTGAGCAGCTTAATAATTTAGTGGAAATGGACACATTTTTTCAGGTTCCTTTAAAGAATAGAAGGTGTTCTGTTGAATTTATTTGAACTATAAATATTTTGTCATATAATAAATGTCTTTAATCCCATCAATTTAATTTATCAATTTAATGCATCCTTGCTCTGAATAACTCGTCTGCTAATAGTAAAATAGACCATCGTGGGACTTACTAAAAAAAAAAAAAAAAAACACGATAAAAAAAATATAATTAAGCTATATTTTATCTCAAGGTTATTGATTACTTTGAGAGAGCCAGTTTATCTCTGGTTTACCGATATCATAAAAGATGTAGTGTATAGATGACAGACAATCATTCAGTTAAATGCTGATATTAACGTACATCAAACCCACTTTGAAAACATTAACGTTACTACTAAACGACTCTACTTTGACAGTTAAGATGAACAGTGTTCAACTCAACTGCAAATTGGTTCATAAGGAAATCTGGACCATGATGTCACCTGAATTCACATGAATAAATATTTTTTTATTGTAGATTGCGTTATGCACGTATTTAAGTATCGACGACGACATGAATCTAACGTTAATTAAGACGTCGTTACTGCATGGTAACTTATGACCATTTGGTTTTCTTAGCCTGTCTGCTTTACTATATTTAATCAGCCTCTTTGATCGGCGAATTGTAGACCTTTCAGAAACCTACCGAATAAATTTAATTAAAATAGGGTTGAACTAAACCCATATTTACCTTCCATGGCGCTCAAAGACGAAAGCACAGAGTCAGGATATGGTTCGGATGGCTGTGAAGTTACAGCTTCTGTTGCGTCTTCTGGGAGTCTCCCACCACATGAAGGACAGAATTTGAACCCAGGCTGTAACTTTGACCCACACTGAGGACAGAAATTCAGCATCTTGACGGCAAATTAGACGCGGTGGGTGGAAATGCTCCTCGGCAAAATGTTGTGACTGTCGAATTAACCTTCTGCAGACATCTTTCGCACTGTTGCGTTGTGGTTGGTTGTAACTGACACAAATCACGTGATCGCTAGCAGCTGACGTTTTACGGCAAGTGACAAGGGCCATAATTCACGATTTTCACATTTTCTTTTTAATATGAACGAGGAGCAATACATTTAAACTCTAAATTTATTGCTGCTGAAAATGAGCTAAAGGAATTTCTCATTTTATTGCTGCTGAAAATGAGCCATTCTAAGGCAAAGACTAAATTAAAAAACAGTAATAATTTCCTACATTGGTTTGACTACAATGAAAATGGTCGTTTACTCACGTTCATATTGCTCATACAAACATATATGACTGACTTTCTCCTGCCGAACACAAAATATATTTTAAATCAGTTTTGGTGACCATTGACTTCCACTGTATGGACAAAAAAATCATTTTGTTTCACAGAGAGAAAAAGTCATGAAGGTGAGTAAATTTTGGGTGAACCAACTATCCCTTAAAACCGCTCCCCCCCCCCCCCCCCCCCCCCCCCCTTCCTACCTCGACCTTTCTTACCTAAAACGGTCTTTAACACTAATCTTTTGTTGCCATATAAGCAAACTGGGATGTTTTTGAAAGCTATGAACAAGAAAAATATGAACAAGTTTTTGAGGTTCACGTTTGTTCTCTCAAAAGTATGTAAAAAGTACGAAACAGGGTTAGAATGACAACAGTATGCAAATGTGTCTAAAAAAATTCTTTTGAACTTCTCTTCACAATACATATTAATGCTGTACCATCCTGTCAGCCTTCACATTAAACAAAACTCTGCTCTAAAGTTATAAAATAAAACAGTTGTCAACTGTGGAAGTGGAATAACAAAAACATGGCCCAAATGACTGAGGAAGAAAATTTGCTGATAGCTTTTTTTTTATTCCCAGTGCATAAATGTACAAAAACACACTTGAATACATTCACACACTGGTCGCTTTCAGAGAGAACATGAACTTTTTTTGTGTTAACACTCATATATACATGTATATATACAGCATGTGAGTAGATCTAATGAAAACGGATTTTCTAGTTATCTGACATGAAAGGCCTTCTCATTATTAATCTCTATTTGATGGCAGGAAATCTATAATTTGCATGCATGCATGTACGTACGTGTTTGAATTCCTGGAAGGTTAAGGTAAACTTTCATTTAGCTAAAGAAAATACAACATCCCTGGCATTTCCCCCACTCCCCACAACCCCATTCCCCAAATCCAAAGCAATCTTGTAAAAAATAAAAAGGGTAAAGAAATAACTATTTCCATAAAAAGGAAATCATTGTTTCCTTGTGAAACAGACATACTGAAGTATATCAACAATTGTAAAATCCAGAGGTCTGTCCCTGTGCATGAGCATTTTTCCAGGAGTCCAGTTCTTGTTTCTGTTTCTCTAGCTCCTCTTTCTCTTTCAGAAACTCCTCTCTCTCTTTCTGCATCTCCTCTTTTTCCCCCTGGAGTTCATTCTTCTCCTTCTGGAGGTCTTCTCTTTCCTTCCGCAACCTTGCATGTTCCTGCTCTTGTTCACATTTCTGATTTTGAAGCACTCGGCGCTCAGCATCCATTTCACGGAACTGCTGCAGTAACTCTTTCTGCAGCTGTATGCTCCGCCCCTCTTCCTGCTGGACACGCCTCAACGCCTCTGTCAGCTCCCGCTCTCTTTCCAATATACGCACACCCTCAGACCACTTAGCTCCTAAGAGGAAAACATTTCACTTATGATATTAAAACTTTAAAAAAAAATATATATATATATGTGTGTGTGTGTGTGTGTGTCTGGTGTGTTTTTGTCTTTTTATTTTATACGCTATAGAATATTAAGATACACTAAAAATGAAAAAGATTTTATTTGTACAAGTTTAAGGTGTTTGTATATCTTATTTTATTTCAGTTAAGTTAGTGTTTTTTATGGTTTTAGTTCTAGTTAACTATAATAACCCTGAAGCAACATCCTTTTCCCACAAAATGTAAATATGTATATTGATGAGAAGTTAAAAGCAAACTATACCCGAGTATCTGTCTAGGCTGGTACTGCAGGGTAAACGGACATCACGCTTAGGTGGCACAATGTGTGATCTGGTCGGAGTCCCGCCCGCTAATGTGGGAGAGGAAGCAAGTCGGCTCGGATCTTCTGATTTACGCTTGCTAGGCCGCTTTTGTGGGTGATCCTCAAGTTGTGCAAACTCATTGGGATGCTTATGCTGTAGATGTCTAATAAGGTTACTTGTGCTACTCCGGTGCTGGATCTTCTCCATGCAGAGCAAGCACAGGGCTCGTGGCTCCTGGCCAAGCTTTCGATAGTGCACCCACACGGAGCTCCACTTGCGAGTATTACCTGGGGTCTCATCCTCTTGTATTTCTTTCCCATCCCCTTCATCAACAGGCCCCTCGGCTTCCTCATCAGCCACCTCTGCTTCAGCTGTCCCCTCTCCTGCTGCAGCACGAAGGATCCCTTTGATGGCGCCATCCATTTCGCCATCTTCTCCCACAGACTCCACCTCTACCTGCTGCTCGTCCATTAACACTGTAACTTGGCACAGAAAAAAAGGAAGAAAAAAGAAGTTGCATTGGTTATTTAAAATGCCCCATCACTTAATTAAATTTGACTAAACTTTGTACACCTGCAGCTAGATGATGACAAAACAGAACGTTGCTGTGCAACAAAAGTAACAATTAACTAGAGCGCAAAAGTCGGGTTCCAAAAGTAAAAATCCCATTCAATTTTTTCCATAAGGGAATTGATTTTTAATAATAATTTAAAAAACCTTCAAACTAAGAAAGACCTACCCTGAGCTAAGAAGTGGTTATCAAATGGAATATATTTTTTTGTTGAAGCTATCAGTCCACATTATATCAACTTTTACATTTTTTAAATAGTGTTCAACAGCAGAAATCCCAGTGAAAAAAAAATACATTATACATGATTCTGCAGAGAAATCCAACAAGCAAATCACACCAAAAGAACACTTTAGCACCACTCCCATGAATTATCCAAACCGCCTTATCTTTATTAAGGTTGCAGGGACTAACCCAGCATCGTGGGCAACATCTTAACTGCCGTTTGCAAATATTTGACATGCTTTAATAGTTTCAACCTGTTTGGTTAGAAAAAAAAATTTCATCTGCTAATTTTCTTTTACTGGATATGCCTCATTTCGATACATTTTCCTGTTGTATTGTTCTCCTGACATCATTATTTAGTTTGTAGGAGTTAAATTGTACTTGTACAGCTTGGTTGTCATGACAATAGAATTCTATCATATTATTCTTTTGGCAGTGTATGATTTGGGCAGGTCTTTTAGAGCTTTGAGTTTAAAGTCGGCATTCACACCTACGGACAATTTAGTGTCTTGAATTGACCTATGAGGCATGTCTTGGGATTGTGGGGGAAACAGGAGCATTCGGAGAAAACCCCAGCAGACACAGGGAGAACATCCAAACAGAAAGGCCTTGCTGTGAGACGACAGTGCTATACCCACTGAGCCACCGTGCAACCCAACATATAATGAGTTGACTTGAAACTAAAATATTCTTATGCATATTTTAACAAACATAAAATATATTGTATCTCTATATAATCAACATCTTATCTCTAATTGTTGTAAATTGGACTATAACATTAAAGATGCTTTATGAGACTGTAGTTCTTTCATTAAAGCTGTGAAGTAGCATACACAGTTTGTCTTTTTGACTGATTTTACTTTTTAAAAGAACGTGCACTGTTGCAACTATATGGCCTTATATAATTTCTAGCCTATATATTCAAGTTTATTAAGGAAAGACACTACAAGCAAAAACCCTGTTTTTTCATGCATCTGTCAATTTTGAGATTGCGCTTTTTAGCTTTTCATATTGTTTTTCAGACTAGTGGAAAGAAAACAGCAAAAATACACTTGTAAGTATATTTTATAGCACTTAATCTACTTGTGTCTTTAGATTTCAATTACATATCTTTATATCTTTAAATGCAGTTCTCTCAAAATTAGTTTTTTTCCTAATTTGAGTCAGAAATCTCCATTTCAGTAGCACTTACATACACCAAAATTTTAAGTTTTATGCCTATCTATATTCTGAAGGTTTTTAAAGAGGGGTTTGTTCATATATAATTTGCCTGATAATATAATTTTTTTCCCTAAGAATTTGTGGGAAAAAAATAATAATTCTGGGTGTTGACAGTATTTTCGAGTGATAAAAAGAGATATCCAAAATCCCCTCTGTAAAAACCTTTAATTAAATTTTTTTTTAACCTGGCTTTACCCAATGTTCAGATTTCTGTTCTTGTAAGCAAATTAGTACATATTTAATTAGACAATGTCTCATTAGCATATTTGAACATAATATTTCAGATTTTTTTTGCAATTCTTAATGTAATCAGTCAACTGGGTATAGCGATATCTAGTAACGTTAGTTGATCACCAGGGGTGTCTGATTACGGAACATAACGTTGTTCGATATGGAAGCTGATCACGGACATAAACAGGTGTTGTGCATTTCCTATCCATTACTATCCATTTTTATACATAATTTTATAGAAACAAATAATCTTGGCTTTAGTCAATGACCAGTTTTAGAATTAAAAAAAAAAATCGCGCCCATCCGGGGATGTGACAGATGGTACATCACGTGACAATTTCGGATCAAATACTGCTAAATACAAATTAGATGTTAGAAAATGACATTATGTATAATTTATTAATCACTGATAATTTGTGTATAATACGACTTTATATTTCGCACAGAATGGTGTCGTTCGCGTTGAAGGTTTTCTGTCCCGTTTATTCTGAACGGGAGGGGGCGGGGTGGCTCTTTCAGTCAAAGCACCGTATATTGCCGATCCAAATCAGCGACACGATTCAAAAGATTCATTCGTTTGACTGAACGAGTCGAATCGAATCGATTCCCGTCGGGGAAATTGATTTGAGATCATATAAAATGTGCTAAATTAGCCTTTTATCATTGAGCGACATAATAGACAATTGTTTGAGAAAAAACCCAACATGGCGTCGTTACGACATCCACCCAAAACCATGGCCTAAGCGAAACTCTCGTCACTTTGACACAAGACTCTGCAAAACGAAGCCGTTCTTACTTAAGAGTCGATACTGAATCACACAATCACAACGAGCACAGTTTTGAACGACAAAGCGCCTTTAAATTAGCTCCTGGACTCACATGTGGTAAGATATAAGCACGTGCAAAGTAACGTTAGGCCAAAATGGAAGGGAAACCCTCACAAACCAAAGAAAATATATGAGGTGTCGATTCTAAGTTCCATAAACAGCCAGTTGTATCATAGACATATCACAGTGACGTTACACCATGACAGTGTACATAATAGTAAACACTGCAAGACAATAATTTAACCTTTCATACCTTCCACGCAACCAGTGTCGTTGCGTTTGGATACCGCATCTGTCGCGGGCTTCCTTTTGTCCAACGAGGAAAAATCTGACGGGTGTTTCGTTCGTAAATGGCGAAGCATGTTTGTTGTGTGACCAAAATACAAAACCGTCTTCATACAGAGAAGACACAATACTCTTCTTTCATCCTCCGCTTGGAAAAATGACCAGACTATACTTCGCTTTCGTGCCGCCATTTTCGAACGGAGTCGACTTTGAATACTGATTGCCTTATTTTAGATGGTAACCTTCTCTCCGTGAAATTCTCGCGCATGCGCTCTGTTGCTGATGCTCTGGTCACTGAGCAAAATGATTCAAGAGACATAAAATCGAATGTTATCCTAAATGTATTTATAATACTTGATGTTAATTTTTTTTTTACATTATGTTTTATGATGCTATGGAATATATAGTAAGACAAAATAATAGACTAGTTATTGTGTCCCTTTGATCCGCAATGTTAAACTATGTCTGTTTTCACACGTTTTAAGTTAATGTCTTTTAAGTCAAAACTGTTTATGATTAACAGAGAGAGAACTACACATTAATAAATACGGATATTTTTATAAATAAAACACCTTGTTGATGTAAAAAAAAAGATTTTTTTTTTTTTTTTTTTAACATTTATTGAATCTTTAAGTCCAACGCACTTATGACAAAACTGTACATTAGTAGCCTAAATCTAAATTTAAAAAAGCAACGGGCAAAGCTTCACATTTCTTCAGAATCCTCTGCTTTTACGATTACTTACATTTTATAAAGTTTCTTTTTTTCTGTTTATTATTGGGGCAGGATTCACAAAGGATCAAACTATTATGTAAATCTCGCGAGAAGTTCAGACGAGGGTTACCATCCAGACACGAGCCTTTAGCGCCCCCTCTAGAATGTCAATAGGTATTCGTGTTATATCCACGTTTAAAAAAGAACAAAATAAGGCAAATATTTGTTTTTCAACAGGCATTTGTGTAAAACCCAGTAAAAATATTTAATTAAATTAAGTAAATGTTTATTATTAAACTTATAACAATGAATAAAAACACAACCCAAACAACACATCACTCACTCTTAAACAGTGCAGATACAAATTCAGCAATAAAAATATTATTCAAGAAACTATGTGCAGCTTAGTAAAACCATTAACATGTCCAATGCGTTGGACATCAGGCTATAAGTCACAACAGGTTTATTACAGAATATTATATCTAGTGTCCAGCATAATAAGTTGATCAGTGCCATAAAAGCTCTCTCTCATGTGCACATATACAGAAAAAATCCTCAGCAGAGCACAAGCTTATATTCACTACTCATGATATAAAATATAAAAACTTGAGGGGCTCACACTTATATCCTGTGACTCAAATTTAAACTGATCACATAAAAATAAGGAAAGCACAAAGTTTCACAGATAAGTTTTGCACATCTTTTTTTGTTACAAGAAATAGGCAACAAAACAACCCTGAAACCACAATTCCTATCCAGTGAGCCATCTCCAGTGTTTTGCGACCCAATTCCCCTGATAACTTAAAACTTGCAGTAAGTATGCATAAACTCAGATAAATTATGTATTCAGTCTCAGGTACTTCATGTTTAAAATGAAAGCATGGTTATTTGATTGTAAAAGAAGGTGAATGATATTAATAGGGTTGGTCTTGAGATATAGAATGTAACAGTGTGTGTAGTGTTAGTTCGGCAGGGTCCTGTGGTTGTGGTTTGGGTCAACATCCTGAATCTTGACCTCCACTGACTCCCACTCTCCAGTGCGATTTGATCGTTTGATGGCATCCACAACTGTCTGTACATACAGCCCATCCTCGAAGGAGGCTGCCATGGAAACAGGATGCCGCACCCAAGAGCGCCTGTCCTCTTGTGCCTGAAAAGAGAGTCTGAGCTGAGTCACCATGCCATTCAGTCCCCTGACAGATGGCCCTACACCTTCTCCACCATCAGTCATAAGAAGCTCCTCTACTTGCATGCTGGTTCGTTGGCCATACAGCTCTGTTCCTCGAGCAATGAGACGTCCTGATGACCCCACAAGCATGATCTCATGCACATCTGTGCCAGGTAGATTGAAGTTTAATGTAACGCTGCAGACCACACCTCCGCTCATCAGCAGCTGAAAGCAAGCATAGTCATCTGCGGTAACAGAACGAATCCCTCCCGCTGGGCCACCTTGACGTACAAAAGTCCGGAGCATTCCATGCACTCGCATAGCCCGACGTCCCGTGAGGTGATTCAGGAGGTCAATGATGCAGGAGCCCACTGTATGCAGGCCACCTCCCCCCATAAGCTCCTCCCACGCCCAGCCATATGATTGGCTGAGCAGTGAGCCTCCATATACTCGTGCTTCACATACCTTGAAAAAGAGAGAAAAAAGTGACATCAATGAGTTTATCATTTTGACCAGTCTGAGATAAGTCATAATGTAATATATGAAGAAGTATCTTTCAAAAAACATTAAATGTTTTTTCTTTCTTTTTGAAAAAAAGTCTCTTATGCTTTATGCTCACCAAGGCTGCATTTATTTGATAAAAAAAACCCAGTAAAACAGTAATATTATGAAATATTATTACAATTTAAAATAACTGTATTTAAACCATTTAAAATAATGTTTTGTGCTTTTATGTATTTTACTCCAGTCTTCAGTATCACATGGTCTAGCAGAAATCATTCTAATATGCTGATTTGGTAATTAAGAATAATTTCTTACTATTATTAATGTGGAAAATAGTTGTGCTGCTTAACCTTTTTGTAGAAACACAAATTTCAGGATTTCTATGAGTAGAAATATCAAAAGAATAGCATTTATTGGATATAGAAATCTTAACATTATAAATGTCTAGTCATTTTCTTAATATCATTATAGAAATTATGCCATATAAATAAAATGAGAAATTCCAATACCTGCAAGGTCCCACAATACCCCTCTCCTAGCAGGCGTCTCATCTGGACAAATGCAGGCAAGAAGCGCAAGGAATTTCCCATGATACTCATAAGCTGTGGGTAATATCTTGCCGCTGTCACCATCTTACAGGCATCTGTCAGTGTAGCTGCCTGCTCACTGATCACATTTTTACCTATACCTATAGAGAATGAGACAACAGAGAACAAAATTGGGTTAACAATGATGAAAAAAACTGAATGAAAAAAAGCCCAAAGTGGCTTGTGCCAAGATGTAAAGTAAATAGTAGCACAGTAAACACTCTAGTTGAGTCCAGGAAGGAACCCAACCCAATCCCCTGAGACAACACAGACAATCAAGATAAGAAGCCAAGGAGCATAAGTCTCACCTAGAGCTTTTACCGCAATCTGCCGAGTGTGGGGAGGAGGTGTCAATATGCAGACAAGGTGGACCTCCGGATGTAGCAGCACATCATCTGTTTGGCTGGTGGAAAAGGGAATGTCCAACTCGCTGGCTAGTGACTCTGCTTCCTCTTGTGTACGGCCCCAGACGGCCTGAACAGGGAAGCCTTCCTTTTGGAGCAACGGCACCAGGGCACGTACTGTCTGCCCTGTTCCAAATACACCCACGCCTGGCAACATTATTCTAACAGAGGACACTTACACGCCACTTGGTGTTTCATTCCACAATGCGACTGTAAATCTCTTGCAAATGCACGTCCTGTGAAAAAAGAGAGAAACATCAAAGTTCACTGACTGACATTTGCACAGGGATGAAAAATTATCTCCAGACAGTGCATGGAGCAGCAAGTTAAAATTAACCTCAGGGCCACTTCAGGGTATCACGATCAATAGACAATAGAGATAAGGAGCTGTAAGAACCCTCTGTTATCGGTGGCTCGGGTGACAGCCTTCAGATACAAGCGTTGCTGATCTACCAGCTGGCTTGTAATTTAATTTACATGCCAATGGCAGTGCACCTGCCCAGCAAAGGCAAATGAGAAAGCATACTTGTTTTTCCACTCTGGACTAAACACAAGGTAGTTCCTGGTTGGGCTAAATGTAAATCTTTATTGGCAAACACCTATTTTTAAGTAAATACTTCGAGAAAGTGTTTAGATGAGCCAAACCGTACGACCACCGAGAATATCCTTAAAGAACTGACATGGAAATGGTGAATTTGACAAATCACGATGTTTTTAATAAAGAAATGTAAACCATTTCAATTTTATGATCCATTTTAGAGGCACTAAAATTAGCATCACTTCCACGCGCTAATCCCCGGATGACGGGCGGATAGGCTTCCTTGTTGAGTTTAAAAGTTTAGACATTAGTTGTGTTATATATTATATATATATATTTAAAATAAGAACAATAAAAACCAAACAAACTTGACACTTTCCAACAAAAACATGCCTATTACACTACAGATACATAACGTTGTAGCTTAGTCGAACCAGTTCTGCCCTGCAGTCACAAATACGTTAGACACATTCTTCCTCGCAGAGTTTTGAGCTCGAGCCAGTTCCGCGCCTCGGTTATTACCGGTAACGTTAGTTCCATACTTACCGCAACACAAAGCCTTGGGATGCGATGGCGGTGCTGTGGAGAATGATGATGATGATGATGATGATGGCTACTAGAGGATGGTGGCGATGGACACCTCCCTCCCTTTCTGATCAACACTGGTCAGGGCTCGGAGCTCTCATGTTATCTCAACAGCAAGAGGAAAAACAGGACAAACCCGTCACACCTCCCACCCTCTCAACGTATGGGGCATTCTTCGTCCGTCTTAAAATCACAGTACATTTTTTCATGTGTAAGTCTACAGCGCTGCTGCTGATCTTACTGCTGCTGCTCATTGCTGTGTGCCGTGGGCTGATCTTTCGCCGATGTTCGATGATGTGCGCATGCGCGAAACTGTCGTGTTTTTTTCTGCCACGCCCATATCAGCACAACAGTTGAGATGGGTCTGTCTGCGGACTGCAAGAGAGGGGCGTAACTTGAAGTCTTGCAGACTGCAGACAGGGATACTATTGGAACAGTTTGGCACAATCCATCCACACAAACCACAATACATGTATTTGTTGTAAAACTTAATTAGATTGTTTAATAAGCAATTATATAACCCGTTTATTCAAAATACCTACCCAAGAACCCTTGACCTTCTCGACCACATCTACTGAAAACGTCACGATTTTATCATAATATATATTGAATTGATATTCAAGTAGCCAGAATGTAGGCCTACTAAAAATCTTAAAAACATGCAACATGTTACCACATGATTTCACCTTGTTATGTTACATTCCTTAAAATTGTGATTCATTATTTGTACCCTTTCTAGAATATTATAAAAAAATATATTTTAAACTGTATTTATATTTCCAGAGGTGGACAGTAACAAAGTACATTTACTTGTACACAAAGTACACTTCTTGAGTATCTGTACTTTACTTGAGTATTATTTATTTTTTTACTATAAACTTTTTACTTTAACTTCACTATACATTTGAAAGACAAATATCGTACTTTTTACAATACGTACAATTCTGTTAAAGGTCCTTGAATAGAAAGTAGTAACGTAAGTCAGGATTTTGCTTGCAGGGGTTGCATTTTGGTTGGAAATGAAAGTCAGGTTGACGTCAGAACCCGACGTCGGATTGACGTCAGTCAGAACCCAACGTCAGACAGACGTTGGATTTTGATTGTAAATGAAAGTCGGGTTGACGTCAGAACCGACTGATGTTGGTTTCTGACGTCAACCCGATTTTCATTTCCAACCACTACAACGTCTGTCCAACGTTGGAGATTAATGTCAATCTGGCGTTGGATTCTGACATCAACCTGATTTTCATTTTCAACGTTGGGTTTGGTCTTCTAATGCGAAAATTGTCATTGTTTTGGAGCACACTAGCTTATAGATAACAGTAAGGCTAACATTCATACTTAAAGCCAAAAAAAATTTAATAGGGCACTATTTGAAGGAACAGCCATTTGGGTGTCCGAAACCATTGAGGTACTTTTAAAAACAACTTCTGTACTTTTAGCCCTTAACTGTCACCTGCCCGTATACGGGCAAACTAAATTTACTTCACTATATTACTATTAAATCCTAATCTAGTCATGACAAACTATATATCGTTGGAAAGGTCTAAGACTCCTAAATAGATATTTTAGCGCTGTTTTTTTCTTACAAATTATGAATGAACAGTAATATATGAATTTATGACAAGAGTGCGCCTCAAAAAATCGACGTCATTACAGGAGTTTCTGACCTTTGTCACAAAAAGTCGACGCACACACTTTTAATAATTGAAACTTTGGTTTTTAGTGCTAAAAGTTCATAATAAAACATAATCTAGTATTTGTCAATAAAAAAAGATAAAATTATATTTTAAAAAGTAAAGTAAGAAGTCCTCTAAAAAGTATAATATATATTATATATATATATATATATATAATTTTTTATTATTATTATATCACATATTTTAGTAGTTATCATAAATTAGGTATCATTTGAAAGCTTACGAACTCAGAATTCATCCTGTGAAAACTGTTTTGAAATTGGACGTTGCGTTACCATAGAAACTGTATTTTTTATTAGGCCCCTCCCCGTTTGGGCATCATCTTTCATAATTTATTATCAAAACCTTTTCTAATCTTGACAAAACACATATTGTCAGAAAGGTCTGAGTCTCAAGGTTCCATATTTAGTGACAGAAGTGATATTTGGATAGAAATTTATTAATTTGTTATGGCAGAATGCATACAATTAAATTCAATGGAATTCAATGGCACCCGGTGGCTATTTTTGGCACTACGCCTAAACAAAATCTCATGGGAACTTCAATTTTTGTGATATCAACTTTAAATTTGGAACACAACTTGGTTAGATATATAGCTTTCATTTTATAGTAATTTTATAGTAAAAAATATTTTGTAAAATATTTATTTTATATTAAAAAAAATATTAATAAACTATATTTGATTTACTGTAAATTATAACTGCCATAACTTTTTCATACTTTAATTTTTTGAAGTGAATTCACTTTAGTAATAATCTGCTGATTGTTTTCTTTAAAACAAGACCAAACTTAGGTCTATATTCCAAAGCATTCTTGAATTACAACCATTTAAGTTTGTATAGTGCATTTTAATGTAAATTATCAAAAAGGGGGGGGGGGGGGGGGGGGGGGGGAGGTAGGTAAAGGGTTAAGTAAAAATCGGTCTTTACAACTTGTACTTGTAACGGAGTAATATTTGACCCGGTATGTACTTTCACTCAAGTAAGGAAGTTGTGTACTTTGTCCACCTCGGTGTATTTCTAAATAAACTATAGTTTATATGACCATTTGTTGAAAAATATTTTTTTTATTAATCTCTATTCTCTTAATTTTAGGTACAACAGATAATTTATACAGTGTTTGTGGTTTTTCGTGAAGATAAGCACCCTACATTGACCTTTGAGTAGATGCTTTCGACTCTATTTATGATGTACAAACATAGATTAGAAATATTAGGCTAGTGGTTGTCATTTTGAAGTGTTAAAATATAGGATGTATCATATTTTTGTATCTATTCTCAGTTGATCATGCTGCTACTGATATGATGGCTATATTTCATACATTAAAAGGCAATATACCTGATAATAACACATTCTTTGAAATAAAAGACTTTTATAGTTTGGTTTAATTCAATATAGGTCTATTTGTTTGTTTTGAAGACTCACTGTAATTCCATTTAATAAGACTAGACAGTCTCTTTATTACCTTAAACTGGCCAGTGATATAAAGGTTACACTATAGTATGTCATGATGATGCCGTTATATTTTTAAAGCTATATGTTTTATGTATTTTTATGTTTGTTTTATTTGTTATGTTTTGAATTAAAATGTTTCAAATTCGCTCGCTATGAATGGTACAATTTCCAATTAAAATGTTGTGGGATGGCATAATTAGGCTATTAATAAATTGATACACAAATTTTAAACGTTTTCAATTAGTGCTACAATGCACCATGCTTGTAACAAAAGCATTTTGTACTTTGCATGGGTTTAATAAATCTAGGCTAGTTCCATTTGTAGCATATAAATATCATTTCTAAACGGTCTCGTGGTGCAAGTTATAATCGTTACACTGTTACAACACTCCTAGTTTTGAATTATGAAGCCAAACTGGCGTATATTTGCGCAGCCGCAGACGCAAGTCTACCGACTAGCATTTGAAACCAAAACAGGAAGTCGTAAGTATTGTGGGACGTGTAGTTCCGCTTCTAGGCCGCTGGTCTGGATAACAGCACACGAAGGAACCAAACAAAACAAAAATAGGGAAACTTCTAGGGACTGCAGTATTACTGGTGCATCTTCTACAAAATCATGCCCGGCTTTACTTGCTGCGTGCCCGGTTGCTACAATAACTCACACCGGGACCGCGATCTGCGATTCTACACCTTTCCGAAGGATCCCACTCAGCGAGAGATATGGCTGAAGAACATTTCGCGGGCCGGGGTGAGCGGCTGTTTCAGCACTTTCCAGCCCACCACCGGCCACCGGGTCTGCAGCGTCCACTTCCCCGGCGGCAGGAAAACCTACACCATTCGCGTCCCGACCCTTTTCCCTCTGCGGGGGGTGAACGAGAGGAAGAGTAGACGGGGAAGGACTAGGAAGGTATCCGCGGTCGTGCCCATCATCAGCTCGGTCGTTTCCACGGCTAACGAGTCAGCGCCAGTGGAGGAAGAGGGGGACACCGAAAACACCACCGTGGTGCAGATAGATCAGAACGGCCAGTACATCGCGCCCGTGGACCTCACCGTTTCGGGGGACGGTTCCTGCCTTACAGCGGTGGTCTCGGGCTCAGATTTATCCGGGGACAGCACGCCGTGTCCCGTGGCCGATCTCGCGCTGTGCGGGGCGGATCACTCGTACTCGCTCACCACCGGCACAACGTCTGCGGAATTGCTTCGGAAACTGAACGAGCAGCGGGACATAATCGCGCTGATGGAGATCAAAATGAAGGAGATGAAGAACACCATCCGACAGCTGCGGGTCAACGAGGCTCGACTGCAGGAGGAGCTGCGCGAGCGGGACCGCCTGATCTCCGCCAACACCATCATTAAGAGAAAACTCTGACAAACAACGTAAAGATACGGTGGACTAAAGACGCATAGGACGGTCTGTGCTTCTGTAAGACAAGGCGACGACAATTAAGTTTCATCGTAGTTCTCATTTAAGCTTCCTCCAGGACTCAGAAATGGTAGATAGGCTGTGTGTGTTAGAGCGCAGATACATGAGTTCAACCTGTTTGCACGAGCTGTCAGGCACAGCGCTACACGGGGACTGAGATGAGTTCAGCAGACTGGTCCTTCTCATTTTATATTTAATGATACACGATTGTGTTGTTTGTGTGTTGAAGGAAGCCGATTCAAGATATGCCTACTGTCACACATCATGTTACATGCACACAGAGACTGCTTCATATAAGTGTGTAAACAAACAACTGGTTATCATTTGTTTATGTTTGTTTTTTAATATCAGAGTGCATCAGGTCAGAGCTTCTGGTCCAGGTGAACCGATTCTTTACATGCAGGTTAATGCAGTTAGAAAAGATGAATGGTTTGAAGTAAACTGCTTTTGAACTATAACTCGTGGGACTCTTTTTTTTATGGTATGACATTTAAGCAAAAAATAAAGTTCTGATTTTCTTTTCTAAGATTCTTCACCACACAAGTTATTATGGATATATTGTGCACTAAAAAAATCTACTACTTTTCTATTTGAAGCCTTGTGTCATCACATTTATTCAAGGAAACTGTTTTCTTGTTAATGAATTGTGCTCAGTAAAGCATCCTCAATTTAACCAAACTTTCCAGTTTCCAGAAGATATTGACCTTCAATTATAAGGTAAGCTTCAGAATAGCTGGAGAACAATCTGATCCACAATGTTGGTTGGTAAAGCATTTATTACGTATGTTTAGAAAAAAAAAATTGTGTACACAAATGTTCAGAGATAACATACATTCATTCCGGTTACCCGAAACTCAAATTCTACACGAGACTTTTGAAGTGTTTTTGTTAGAGTCGTAATCTTTTAATGTCCTCACTGCGGAAATCGACCCTTAGAGCCAAGACCTGCCGAACTTCAGCAGGGGTCAGACGCCACGTCAAAGGCCCAGAGTTGGGTCCCCAATAATCCAGGATCTCGGACACCTCAAAAAGAAAGACACAGTCAAACAAAATTCCAAATGATACTGTCCTCTTAGTCATAGACCAGATTTCAATGATTGACATTTTTAAATGCTAGTCAAGCCACATAAGCCACATACCCTCTCTAAGTTGAGAATAGTTGCCATCTGTGTGAGTCGAGCAAACTTATCCCGGATGGTCCAGGAGGTGACAGAGGAGAGGTATGCAACCAAAGCACGCAGCTCCTTATCAAACTGTAATCCACCAAGCTACAACCCAGAATCAACAGGACAGTTAGGATGTCAGTGTTTTTAATCAAATATGTAACTGTTGTGCTCATTTGTGCAGGGTGTTTACATCTCACCCTGCTGAAGGTGCATTTGAACACTGTCTTCTCCATCTCCATTGCTATGAGACTGGTCATCAGGCTAGTTAGAGTATCGTAGATGACTGGTGACAGGCCCACCTACAGAGAGGCATTTTAGAATGGATGTGTGTGTGTGTGCGCGCGCATGTGTAAAGTAGATTAAAATAAATTTACTTTAAACTCAGCCATGAGCTGCTCCAATTGGACAATGAGTTGCTGAACCCAAGGATCATTGGCTTCATACTCACTGAACTCTTCCTAAAGACAACAAAAGAAAGTAAATCCTCAGATAACATTTATAATTCATAAGATTAAGCAATACAACTGATTTTCCATCCTATCATTAGCTATGTTTCCATCCAAAGCTGCAAACTTAACTTATGCGCAAAATTGGAATATAATATCGCATAAAACCATCCAAATGTTTCCATCCAGAGCCGAAAAGAAAAAAAGTCACTTCCTGATTAACTGGCGCTAAATATAAGAATATAAGAAAAATGGAAGTTGCTGCAGTAGGAGATGGCACTGTATATAATATTTTCGTATATATAATAAATTACTTGAGCGCGCAGATGAAACGCAAATAAAGTTATCTTGCTTTCAGAGGTGGATCTCTACTGTTTGGGAACGTATTCGTGTAAGACAGTCCTGGGAGGTGATTATACTGAACCACTTTGATGACAGATTTTGCTCAGGCATTTCAGAACAACCAAAACAGCATTTCAGATGCAGTGCATTGAGATCGGTCCACTGGTTAGTCCAGTTATGCCTCCCCATCGCGTAAATTCATGTCTTTTTTGATGTGAGCGGCATTGAGGAATTTATTCGGTAAATGCGTTTCCATCGTAGTTTATGTGCATGTTTTCTCATGTACTATTCTTGGATAATATGTCTATTATATACGGTTTTTATGCAAATTTTTTAAATTATGCGCAAATCCAGTGATTTTTTGTATTTTATGAAAATGCGCATAAAAATAGGTGGATGGAAACATGGCAATTGTCAACTCTTAAGTGCAGACATTTTTATTTCCTCTGTCAGTAGTAGTAGATATGGTGATGTTATCATCTCATACCTCTTCAATATTGTGTGAAACAGACAGGAAGCTGCTGATCCAGGGTTTTACTTGTGGTCTAATAGAGGTGTTGTTAAGCTCCTGCAGCCCCTCCTGCACATACACAAACCGGTAAGAAAAACCGCACAAACATTCAAGATTTTGTAGTAGTTTTGTATCTTTTTTTAAGAAATGAATACTTTTGTTCAGCAAAGATACATTAAATTGATCAAAAGTAAAGACATTTATAATGGTACAAAATATTTACTTCAAATAAATGTTGTTCTTTTACCTTTCAATTAATTTAAAAAAAAAATCCTAAAAAAATGTATCAGTTTCAACACAAATATTAAGCAGCATGACTGTTTTCAACATTGATAATAATAAAGAAATGTTTCTTGAGCACCAAATCGGCATATTAGAATGATTTCTGAAGGGTCATGTAATACAAAAGACTGGAGTAATGATGCTGAAAATTCAGCCCTGCCATCAAAGGAATAAATTACATTTTAAAATATATTAAAAAAAGAAACCAGCTATATTTAATTGCAATAATATTTCACAATATTACTGTACTTCTGATCAAATGTAGCCTTGGTGAGCATAAAAGACTTCTTTCAAAAACATTTAAAATCCATACTTGTGAACGCTAGTGTGTAAACAGATTCTCACTGACCTGGAGGAGGTCCTTGAATTTGCTAGAGGTGGTGACCAAATCAGAAAGACAGCTGTCAATCTTAGCCTTTGCATGATCTGAGCCTGTGCCCTGACTGAACAACTTGGCACAATCACTCTGAGATGGACAGGAAGAGAAAGCAATTCAGAATGCTCACAACAACATCAAATGTCAGCATAAGCCAGAAAGACCAGGGGATTCAAACTTTTCCAGTGTTATTGATCTCTTTCTTGCATTAAAGTGGATATAATTTTCTCACATGATTACAACAACTCGCTAGTAAGAGTGGTCTGACATCATGTTCTAGGGATGCAATCAGTAAAGTGTTTTTGACTGGCATGTCTCATTTCCAAAAATAGCAAACCATGCAAGGTATTGTGCATACCGGTAGTTGGTTAAGTTCTACCATTGGATGAAAAGCTTCCCCAAACATTTCTGAAAATTTCAAGTATTAGTTCACTCTCCCTCATGCCCTTCGAACCTTGAGAGACATTCTTTCTTCCATGCAACACAAAAAGTGAGTTTATTTGGACTGCTTTTATGATGTGTTTATAGGTCTTGAAAGCAACTATCCACATTAACTGTAATTGCATGGAAAAGATTTCCAAATTTCTCTTTTTGTGTTCCATGGTATAACGCAAGATGAAGGAGATCAGGATCTAAATGGAGATTAAGGTATTTAATGATAAAGTAACAAGAAAACATCCAAACACAAGGAATGTAACTGAGAGTGACATGCAACCATGGATGAACAAAACCTGACAATGAACACAGGAAACACCAGGGCTTCTATACACAAAGGGTAATAGACACAGGTGCAAATAATCAGGGAGTAATGAGGGAAACAGGAAACTGGAGCAGAACTACAAAACAGTGACAGGAAACTCAAACTAGACAAAAGACCAGACAAGAAACAAGTGACATGACACATGAAAGAAATGTCCTATTGGTCTGTTGCATGTGGTGAGCAAATGACAGAGTTGCTGGTGGTTGGCTGGAAGAAACAAAATAATCCTTGATGAAAGAAATCACATCACACTGACCTCTAGATTCTTTTTCAGGGTTCTGATATTCTCACTGCAGACCTCCACATTATTGAGAGTCACCTGAGAAAAAAAACAAGCATTATTATACTTAAACACTACATGAAAACGTATGTTTAATGAGAAGTACAGAAAAACAAGAGGGAAAAGTGAGATAATAAAGTGAGTGTGCGATAGAAAGACTTAATGCTGACCAAGTAGGCACTCTTCGCCTGCTCTTGGCTCTCAATCCCAAGCGTTTGTGTGAGGTTTGTTATCTTGCCCTGCTGTAGACTGCTCTGCATCAGACTGACGGCACTGCTGACCCCACGCTGCAGGTCCTGCAGGGCACTGACTGGATATCCAGCTCGCAGCTTACTTACTAACACCTCTCTGCACAAGGAAGTAGATGCAAAAGGTATAGCGGATGATTAGATATTCAATAACAATGCAGTTTCCAGAAATTCTCTGATGTGAATTTCTAAATCTTCAACAACAATTCTTCACATGCAGTTAGTCATTATCAGTAACAATAATTAAATTCCAAAATTGTGCGTATACCTGAAGTCTGTCTCCAGAACGCTGGTTGCATGATTGATCATAGCGCACACGCAGTCAGAGCTGCTGCTGGTGAGAGCTCTGCTGATACATTTCTTCACAATGTAGAATACATCGTCCACCATGCTGGAGCTCAGCTGACCCATCTCAGCAGTGTCCATGACAACTGCCTATAAAGTCATATTAATCATCCTATGAGTATTGAGAACTAAACTGAGTTAGACGATGACATTACTAGAACTGAATCAACACTGAAATGACTTCAGTAGAACAATGACACGATTTTCTTTTTAGAGCTGCTTTACAGGCGGAATGAACTGTTTGCATCATTGAAACATTTTTTTTTCCTGTTTGATCACCGTAAAGCTGCTTTGAAGAAATCATATCATATTGTATAAAGCGCTATAAAAGTGACTTGACATTCATTCTGCCAAAAAAATGTATCTGCAATTTAGCTGATGGCAAAACCAAAACAACAGATAGATGAACATGAGAAAATGTAGTAATGTACAGTTCAACAGTTTGGGGTCGGTATTGAGTAAGATTTTTTAAATGTTTTTAACAGTTTCTTATGCTTGCTCACCAAGGGTTCATGCATTTAATCCAAAATACAGTTAAACAGTAATATTGCGAAACATTATTACATTTTATAAAATAACTTTTTTATTTGAATATATTTTAACATGTAATTTATTCCTGTGTTGGCAAAGCTGAAAGTTTTCAGTGTCACATGATCCTATTTTAATACACTGATTTGGTGCTCAAGAAACATTTATTATCAC